AATGAGAGAGAAATTTCACAGCAAAGCTTTGGCTTAGGAGAAATTACCTGCTCTCAGGATATCCCCAGACTAACTTACATGTATGTGCTTCCCAAATCCCAAAGTATATATCAACTTTTCAGCAATATCAAACATGAGAAGCATCAGCGTCCCACCAAAAAACTTCATCGTCCAGAATCATTGAACTTTTAGTTAACTATGTTTGTTTAATAATAATGATAATGAAGAATTTGCAGTGCATGTATTTGTTCAGTTCCAAAATTTGTTATATGTGGTTGGGTTACATATCAATGTGTATTGCATTTAAGAGAAATTTTCAAGTACTTGGCAGTGAACAAGGTTGACAATTGGAGTGTTAACATATACATGTATGTAAAACTTTGCTGTTCCTTACCCTACATTACCTTCACTGGCTACACTTGTATTGTAATTATATTAGATTCTGTATTATACATATACAGGTCACACCGTAATTGTTTAAGAAAGCAAATAGGTCTGTACTGCATATCCTTGCTTGGACATACATGTGAGTGTGTGTGAAAGAATTTTTTTCTCCGCAACAGCTAGGCTTGTGGTATAAATTTGTTGAGTTCCGAGAGTCACTCCACGTTGTTGTTTTACACATCAACGTGTATTGACTTTTAGGCAAGTCTTCAAGTGCTCGTGAATAGCAAAAGTAAGTATGTAGATGACTAGAGCTTGTACATCTGTTTGCTGAATTTCCCAGACTCGTCACACTGGTGTTTTACTTGACTTGTTGAGTTCTGAGAGTCAAGACACATTCTTGGTTTTCACATCAATGTGTATTGACTTTAAGAGCAGTCTTCAAGTACTCACAGTAACTTCTTGGTTATTTAAAATCATTTGAGTGCTGGACATGTTTATTTACAAGAGGTCAAATACGAGCTAAAATATCTTAGTTCTAAAGTTACAGGCTCTTGAAATTTGTGGAAAAGTGGTCAACTTGTTTGTGTGTCGGGATCATGTTGTCATGTGTGAGTGCTGGACATGGTTATTTACAAGAGGTCGAATACGAGTTAAAATAACTTAGTTCTAAAGTTACAGGCTTGTGAAAGTAGAGGAAACGTGTGTAGGGCTCATGTTGTCATGTGTGTTTATTGAGTGGTCTGGGTTGGCAGGGGCAGGGGGGGATGGTACTCTCCATTTAGGAACTATACAGATTAGTGTGACTCCTTCACTTTGCAGCACTG